TTCTGTTAAACACAGACTTCATGTGACAGACCAGTTTGGTCAGTGAATGGTGGAGGTCACTGGTATTTTAACTGAGATATTAAAAGCCTTCAAATGATCTTATAAATGTGATCATCAGCGCACTGCCATTTGGAAACGAAATGCATTTGGTGCAACCTTTAGGAAAAGAGCTGAAGCAACCTTTGGGTGTCTTCCCAGTTTGCTCAGAATTCACAGAGAGAAGCATCTGAAACGTTTCTTTATTTGCGTTTCAAACCCTGGAGGAACTCAACTTTTGTGCTTAAATATAGCAAACATGTGTAACAACCTATTAAGCACACTCATACTGATTGCAAGTATGGGCACAGCTAGATTAGAAATGTTTATACACATACAGAGCTGTAAAAAACTGAGGTGGAAACAATCCATTAAGTGCTAACGATAACCACACATGTACTGCTCGCATATGGCTTTTTCTGCATCCAAATGGGAACAAATCCTGATCCCATTTTAAACAGCGACCTCACGTTAAATTTACCCTTCAGTGCCTCAATTGCAACCTGAGGAAGATTTGCCAGCAAACAACCGGCGCTCAGGAGGCCGGTGGGAATCCTCTCATTGCTTACACTGAAGCTGTATTTCTCCCCTGAACTACAAAAGCCCCAGGGCTGACTACCAGACCCAGACGTATAACAAGTATCTTTGGGTAAGGCCAAACTGGCCTCGGGGACCAGAACAAACACATCTGCTAACACTACCCAGTGTTGCTTTACACAGACAAATTCAGTGAGGCAACGATTACTACGAATAATATCACATACACGGCTGTCTATACATTTATCCTTTTGACACAACCAGAATGTTATAGCATTTCACTTGACATTTCTGCTGGATTTCCAGGGAGATCTGACAAATTTCTCTTTCCTTCTGAGTTGTTAAAGAGACTCCTAGAGGTGAGACAGCATTAGAAAGAACTGCCCCATCCAGCACTGCCGATAAAATAGCGTTTGCAGGACTAACATAACAAGACTATTCCCTTTACTATATGTTCAGCAGCAATAGCAGACAATGTACAACACGTTGCCAAGTTTTGGTGCTATTAGTAATATACTTTTATGAGCTGTGGGAAAAAAAACCCTTTGTGTTTGCCGTTCATATAAAAAAGTACAAAGGCCTTACTCACTGGTAAAATGTTAAGTACACCCCTTGCAGATCACTGAGCATATGAGCCCATGGTACTCACAAGGTGTCACCATCCCTAAAGGCCAAATATTTGGGAGAAGATTTATGAAGGAAGAAGAGTGTTCAAAAATCAAAGTTCAGGAAAGACCTTTATGCTAAGCTAAAGTCAATGTGAAAACCTCCATCCAAGGAGCAATGCCCACGGCTGGGACACACCATGACCGGGCATATGGCAGATCTGCTGTTTAGTCAAACTGCACATCAAACAGACTGGCATCATAGTCTCCTTTTGCCTGAGGAGCAAAAGTGAGAGGGTAATACAGGGAGAGAATACAGAAGAAAGAAGTAGAGAGAAAGAAGCTTTTATCACTCATTGGCTGTGTGCCACAGAGACCAATTACATTTGACAGCAACCATTATAATTCCAGAGTCCTTGAACAAATCACAAGCAGAAAGGTTACCTTACTGAAAATGTTCATTGCCATTAAATAACTGACCCAGACTACAGGGTGAAGGCAGCGCTTAAGAGAGAGTTTGGGAGGAAGGGAAGCGATGGAGAACCTTCTTATGTGCACATCTGAGAAAACCCCATAATTTGTTCTGAGGAAGGAACTGCAGATTCACTGCAGATCAGGTGTTCTCAGCCAAGTGGTCAGAGTTCTGAGACTGCAATTCCTACAGACATGCTGCTGTTACCAGTGGTAAACCCCAGCTAAACCTCACCAACTTCGTGAGATTTATGGGTTTACCTTCCGGTTTGAAAGTCATGAGGCCTGGTCCCCTATTCCTTGTTGCTTTGAAGTTTAGATTGCTATGGAGGCAATCTACAAAGAAAACTGCCACAGGTCAGATACCACGTTGGTGACACAACCTTAATGATCCCATCTAACTAAACCATTCGTATTTCATGAAACCTGCATTTCAATATCGAAGAGTTGAGACATGCTAAAAAGTGGATATCTTGTTCTCTCTCAGTAACATAGGCATAATGCTAGGAGAAATGAGGATCTCTATAGATTTCATCCTCTGTGTGCAACCATTCTGTATGGATGATGAAAAATTTCACCAAGTAACTGTATATAAAGCAAGGTCATTTGGCATATCACATTCAGGTTTCTTCAGCAAATCCCAGTTATGTGGGACGCATCCTTCTACAGAAGGTTCAAATTGCCTTTAACAGATATGTGCAGTCAGATGGTTCCCTTTCCACCTATGTTGAAGGTTTATTTTCCCCTTGAAGCTAATTGGAAGTGACCATTTGCGTAAGACCAAGGGGTCAAACGTGGTTCTGAATTTACGTTCTGGGGTTGGCAATTAGATGGAAAGGTTCCAGACCCTTTCTAGCTGAAACTTGTCCTCCGCCAAACTCAACAAACTAGCTACACACACACACACAAAAGCGTTGCTAGCTCCAGGTCCCCTTGCAACTATCACAACACAACTTTGACATTGCCCTTTTCTAACTGAACATACACAAACTGTCAGGATGAAAAAGGAAAAGAAGAGAAAGAGAGAGAGAGAGAAAGAAGAGATGTTGTGAACGAAGAGATGCTGTGAACGAAGAGATGTTGTCTCTGTCAACTGATTTCTAGGAGACATCAAGGCCTTACAAAAAGGACCAATAATAGGGGCATAGAATACTGACAAACAAAGGCATAAAATCATCATTCAAGTTTTGCAGAATGACTAAAAGCGCAAGTAGTTTTCACATCACAAGATGAGTTGTAACAGAGAAGGAAAGAGTCATATTAGACCTGTATGTGTAAAATGAATATGTCTCATTTTATGGTTCAATGGACTCATCCCAAGATCCAAAAGACAAAGATATTTTAAGGTACTTGCTTCTGTATTCACAAGACAATGCTCACAGCTCAAAGGCCACCGTTTGCTAGCTCTGAACCAGGAAGGATATCTTATAATTGCAAAGATGAAATTTAAGCTCCTTTCACTCACACAGAGATGGACAATTTGAGAGAGCAGAACAGATCACTGAGAGAATTCTCCACTAATAATTCTCTTATTAATTCAGCTGAGTTTAATAAGTGCTCCTTATTCAGTCCCCAAAAGCTCTTATCAGAACATCCCCAGAAATAAATCCTCAGTCTCAATAGTCCTGCTTGGGAAGGCAAAGCTAAGAGTCTCCATCACAAAAGAATGTACTTATTTGTCATATCTGGTTCAAAGCTTACAAACTTAAGCAAGGAATAATAGCAGCCATTGTCCTTGGATGCAGTGTTCAGCCATGCTTGGTCTCGGTGACTCACCAATATATCTGGTATAAAAGAAATGAGCTGTTTCCAGATCGTAGGAGTAAAGTTACTCTCCCACTACACCATTAGAGCTGAGAACCTCTACCTCTGAGATTTGGAATCCCATGGGAATGAACAGGGCAAAAACTATGCCAATGTCACACCAGAAGTTCTGCTGTGGAGCAGGATTTAAAACTTACTACAGTTTAGTAAAAAGGCATCAACCAGAACTGCATTTATGGTTTCCCAAAGATGTTTTGGATTGTCCTCGCCTGTTTTGAAATCTACTTTCGGTACCATCATTAAGCTCTTCCTCTGCTGCACCTTGCATATTCTGCAAAGGAAAGGGGAGCTGAGAGACTGCAGTAACTTCCCCCAGTTCCCCTACAGGTACTCAGTGGGGATGCTAAGACAGCAGAGAGTAAGACAATCTGCATCAGAAGTTCCTCCCAATATGAATGCAACATCAAGATAAACATAGATAAGAGAAATCTGGTGGGGAGTTGTGGTAAGAACTTAGGAAGGAGTAGGTTGATAGAGAAGGGACAGAATATACAAAGTCAGGGCAAGCTGTATGTGTGAGCGGAGATGAAGCTACGGTGTGTTATAGGTGTTAGAAAATCCTGTGTGAGACAGAAAGAAACAGAGAGACAGGATGGTAGTGGTTATTTGTCGTGAATGAGTAAGTATGGAAGGAAGCCATGCAAGTAAAAAGTCTTGTATTTCGGGATGCACCCCCAAACCTGTAAATGTGCAAATCCTGTGCATGTACATACAGGAGAGCAGCATGTGTGTGCAAGGACAACCCACTGGAGAGGCAACACCAGGGTGTGTGCAAAATGAACTCTGAAGGCCAGCAATGTCTGCTGCGTACATGAGAAAGCGGATGGAGTAGGAAGCAGGAGTGCGTCTGAGAAGCCAGAGGAGCAAAGGGAAAGAGGAACACGACACAGAAAAGGAACTGACAGAGGGGAAGGAAAGATGAAGAACATGGGGGAGGATGTACAGTCTATTGCACAGGCAAGAGCGAGAAGGTGGAGAGAAAGGAAAGGAACGAACAAGGGAAACATCTGTCACACAGAAAATATGCTTGATGAAAAACAGGCATAAAAAGACTGAAAAAGATAATCAGAGGTGCATTAGGGTAGAGAGAAGAACAAAGGGAGTGAGAAGAACAATTAGAAGAAAAAAAAACAAGAACTATATTATTAGTTAACAGAAACCATAAATCCCCAGTGAAGAGATTTAAAGAAAAGGCTAGGGCATAACACACAATGGGTAGAACCAGAAATTCCCTGCAGATAGTGCTGATGATCAGTCCTTTCATCTCGCCTCTCTAGACCTCTCGGTGCACGCTTCCTTAAGAACACGTCTGCACCTCCAGCTACAGGCTGTTGACCTCATCAAACCCTGAGCTCCAAGTATGGGTGCATGCAAAGTATGAGACCTGCTGAAGGCAAGGAAGGCACAGAAGAAACAGACTCTTGAAAACGAACACAAAAAGGTGAAAATGGAACTTGTAGTGATTGGAGTCAAGCGCTGTCTCAGCCAGCAGTGAGGTGGAGCTGACCTCTCAGCTGCTTTCCTTACCTTGGGTGCTCATGAGTGACTGGGTTTTCTTGCTGCGGCTGCCCCGGGCTGAAGCTCTCTCTACGTCGCCTCCATGCAACAGTCAGTGTCTCCCCAGGAGTCTTGGAGAGGTCATTTGTGCTCTGCAGCTGGTGAGAAGTAAATGAAACACAAGGAGCAAAACACCCCTTGGCCCCTAAAGCACCAAGAGTTTAGGGAGAGCTGGGAATGCAGGAAGCCAGTGCATCGGTGTCGGAACACGCAAAGTGCAGCACAGAAAGTAAGAAAAAGTGTGTCAGAGGCTGGGAGGGGCAGAGAAGGAAAATGCAAAGATCTGACAGGAAACCAGACTATAAATCTGCTTCGGGTTTTAAAAAACCCCACATTTCTGCTCCCCAGTGATAGAGCCTGTTTGCAAATGACTGCACGCAGGTGACAGCAGAGCTCTGAAGTACCGCCGTAAGCAAATCAAGAGGCACCTTTGGCCCTTCCCCAGGCAGAGCAGCGGGCAGAGCTGGCAGCAGCACAAACGGCTGGCTCAGACATAACAAGGAGGCTGCCTCCACTGCTTCGCTTCCACTTCTCCAGACTTTTAGTGCATGCTTCCCTCAGGCAAAAGGGGACACGCTGAATGCCAGCCTTACCCGTGCTGTGCCTCTCCAACCACAACGCAGCAGCCCGTGCTTCGCAGGGCACATGCTGGCTAGAAAACAGGCAGGAAAGCAAATAGAAAGGACTAAAAACAGAGGTTCAAGAATAATTCCAGGCCAAAGGAGTTCTGGGTTTTTCCAAGGTTTCAAAGGCTTTTCAAGAAAGCATCTATTTTATTAATAGCTGCTTTTGCTAAAAAGGGAGTCAACAACATTTACTTTATGCAAACATTAGATTATTTTACAGTTGAATGATACTTTAAGCTATGTATTTTCCAAAGGGAGTCTCTGCTGACATAAAGAAGCCGCAGTATCTTCTGCTGCTTTAATGCTTGACTCCAGGCTTAAGGCCACACATGCAAATCCAACCCAGATGGGTCTCATTGATGACATTTACCTGCTAGGATGCAACGACATCCCTCCATAAGAAAGCCAGTGAGAGCAAAGTCAGGCAGATCTTTCCCTTACTGTTCTCCCAGTCCTGCAGGCGCAGGAGTCACCACCACTGCTAGAAACATCCTTCAGTGCTGTTGCCATCTTGCTCAGGGATCTTCAGCCTGTATCATTTGCTTCATGTGCTGGTTCTTCTGCCAATTCAACCTCCAGGGGCAAAACAAGGCTCAGTTGCTCCTCAGGCTTTACTCTTTGCACTGGGTAGATGGGCTCAAGTGAAGCCTCAGTGGAGTCAGCCATAGGTCCTGAGTAGGTGAGAATCAGAGGAAAGACCCCTTGAAAGAAGAGTTACATGTGTATAATCGGGATGCAAGTTTGCAAGGGTGACTCTATGTATGTATATATGTTGATATGTACAAGGGTATGCTTTTATCTCACAAGAGAAACTAACAGAAATAAAAGCAGAAGCACTAGGGATAATAAACATGAGTGACCTACAATAGATAATCTAGGAATGTGGGAAGGGAAAAATGATAGTAATGGAGTGAATGAGAAAGGAAAAAGTAGTTGTTAGAGAATAAAGGGAAAAACAACACATGGAAAGTAATACAATAGTACAGTGGAAAAACTATCAAAGGATACAGCAGCGTCAAAGACAAGAGAATGGAGGAAGTGAGATGCTAAAGTAAAAAGAAGAAATACAAGGGAGAAATTACACTGCTCAGAAGTGTCCATTACAACAGCCAAGAGTGGTCTTCCCAAACTGACAACTTGAACGCCGTGAAAATCATGAGGGAGCAGAGCATATTCCAGAGAGCAAAATGCATCAGGCAGCTCTGCTTTAATTCTCCCTTATTGTTCCTCTAATTTCATGTGTTTGCACATGGACTGGTGAGAGCTAAATTTGCCCATAAGGACCATAATGAAAGGATTCAGTAGGGATTTTAGTTCTCTAAATCAAGAGCTCAAATACTAAGGAAGGCCGGAATTTCTGCCTCCAACAGCAATGGCAGAAGATGCTACAGCCCTAAGTTCCAGTGAGGACTATATATTATGTGCTACTTGCTTTCCTGTGTAACTTTACCAAAACTCGCTTTCAAGTGAACGTGGAGCTGCAGGAAGGCTTCCTGCTCTGAGCAGCCAAAGATCTATACATGAGACAGCTGCACGGGTGAGGTTCTGCAGTTTCTGACCGGGTGAAAGCCAGCGAGACTTTGGAGTGAAATAAGAATCGTGACCTCCAATGACTCCATCAAAACCAGCGCAAGTTATTTCTACTGCTTTCACAGGGGAAGCTGATTTATGCATGCAACTGAGGAACCGTTTGAAGCACAAGCAGAGAAATTAAGCCTGATGGCAGGAGGCTTTGTGGTTTCACTTCGATTTAAAAACCCACACGTTGTCCACACATGGTTCCCAACCTGCAAGGAAAACCATGCTAGAAGTTCAAGCCAAAACGCACCAAATCTCATTAGAGCTTTTACCTTCCATCCTTGATTTCTTCAGCAAATAAGGTATCATGCAGTAGACTATAAAACTGCCCTCCAGAGCCACGCAAGGTGTTAGGTATCTATTTGCTCCTCCTTCTGCTATTGTTTTGCTTGATGATGTAGACGACAAACAGCTTTCAGAAAGCGCAATAACTGTTCTAAAGAAGATTCCACATTTCCCTGGGCCTAAAGCGACACCCCAGAGATGAAGCAATTACCCAGTGAAGCCTGAGCAGCTTTAAGGAATAGGTCACTGAAACTCAAAGGACCTAAAACGCTCCTAATCATAAAGACTTTACTGGCAAACTGAGATTACCTGAGCGGGATCCAGCCATCAATCACAAAGGCACATGCAACTGAGCGTCAACTTTCTTTCATAAGGATATACAATCTTAATCCCAGTTTTCAGTTTTAAACAATTCTCTCAAGCTATAAAAATGTTATGGCTGAAGTTACAGTTCCTTGAGGCTAGAACACTGAAGTGATGGGTTTTAGACAATGTAAGCGTAGAAAATAATCATGTTCTCTTAGGCAACAAGAATATCCAAGGAAATGCAGATGCCACACCTAAAATAGAAGCAAAAAGCTGCAGAAGCTGAAGCAGGGGGGTTCCTGACCAACTGTGGGGTCTAGGATCTTGCCTGGTAAAGTTACTCATATCTCAGACAGCAGCGACCGTGGAGACTTATATAGAAGGGTGAACACTGGAAGGACAGCTAAAGTAAGCGCTGGAAACATGGTACTGAGAAAAAGCCCAGAAAGCTTTCTGAAGCAGTCTGGCTGAAACAAAGGATACGTGGATGTTTGATTCAGCTCTCTTTTGTTATTTTTGACCTATTTCTGCTTCTCGGGGAAGCGGGGAAAAAAGGAAAAGAAAAAAAAGGAAAATTCCTCCTTTTGTTTTTTGGTAAAAACCCTCAAAGACAAACCTCTGCCAGCTAGTTCTTTCCTTATAGTCAAAAAAATCAACTGGAACTTTCAGTTTAAGCCAGCTGCTGACGGTTAAGGAGCAACAATATGTTTTGTTATGGCTTCTCAATCTTCTTTCATTAAACCTGGTACAAGAAACAATACAGAGGAACTCCACTCATGTCTCCTGGGCACGGCAGGACACACCTGGAGTGTTTGCTGTCTCCCTCTTTCAAAGAGACTTCAGAGAAGGAGAGCGTATTTAGTGCCTTCCCATTGCTCTAATTGTGCATGATCTGAGCCCTGATGGCAAAGTGCATCTTGAGCCCTTTAATGGTGCTGTAACTTCCCTTCCTCCAGGCTTTTATCTTAGGGTCCTTGCATAGAAAAGCCATCAGAATCTCAAGGTTATTCTGTCGTTCTATTAGGGGGATCCAGCACTGCAGAAGACTCAGCATCTTTGATATTCCTCCACACCATTGCTCCTCTCCTAAGTATTTTGCTCCCAGTGACTTTCATACAATAACACTGTTAGTGGGGTCTATAGGGAAAGCTGGTCTTGCTGTCTGTCCCACAGGAATCCTATAAAATTAATCCAGTGGAAAGCTCTCCTTGTAGACCATGAATTCTGACAGAAAGCCTTTTACAGAGTCACTTCAGGAGGGCAGGCCATAACTCAGAAGTGAAGCTGCCAGACAGCTTTAAATAGGTGCAGACTGAAGAGCTGGAAAAAAACAACCCAAACCCCCAGCATTTGGAAGCAAAGAAACACTGAACTGTCCAGCTCAATCTGCTGTTCCTTTCCTTCTATCCCCTTCTTCTCCCTTGAGAGCCATCCCAGCTCACGAAGAGACTGCCCTTGACTCCTTATCAGTGTAACAGCCCTGAAAATCCCTGGATACCATGAAATGCATTTCACAAACTAGTGATTTGAGAATGAATATATTGCATCTCTCCTGCTTGCCCGGGCACAGCAGCACCGTATATATTGTTAACACAACCCCTCCAACTCTTTTGAGGGAAGAAACAGAAGTATTAAATATTTTCCATGTTTTACATATTTCATATTATCAGCCTTGCTCAACTGTCCTTAGAGACCATCACTCTTACTTATAGATGCTCACACTTTATCATTTTTTCCTCTGGAGATGTGACTTCCAGAACAGAAGTATTTCCCTATTCAATTTACCAGCCTTTGCATAAACCCCTTGATCTTAGAAAGTGACACACAGCAGGGTTTCTTTAACACCTTTGGGGGTAATGGTTTAAATCCAGTAGGAAAATGTTCTCATCTATAGGTTTATAATACACATTTAAACAGTGTTTCATTGCCTGAACTATGAAATAAGATGACAGCCAAACATATATCAGTGGGGAAAAGGTAGTATAAAATTCTCTCTTTCATTTGACAGTGTTGGGGTTTACGTGTGTTTTGCACAAAAATGTACAGTCTCTGCTGAGTTTGACAGTGTTATGGGATTTATCTGTCTGTGTCAGCTGTTAGCATATTCACCCTCCTTTTTATGGAAAAGTTAGGTTCAATTCCATTCCAGAAGCTGGGCTCACAATCTATAGCACAGCAGATAGTGCCTTACAAAAGGACCAGCCCTCAACTGAAGGAAAAAAAATCAGAGAACCATAGAATAGTTAGGGTTGGAAAGGACTTTGAAATCATCTAATTCCAACCCCCCTGCCATGGGCAGGGACACCTCACACTAAACCATGGCACCCAAGGCTCTGTCCAACCTGGCCTTGGACGCTGCCAGGGATGGAGCATTCACAACCTCCCTGGGCAACCCATTCCAGTGCCTCACCACCCTAACAGGAAAGAACTTCCTCCTTATATCCAATCTAAACTTCCCCTGTTTAAGTTTGAACCCATCACCCCATGTCCTATCACTACAGTCCCTAATA